CGCCTCCCTCTTCTCTCTCCCGCTCTCCTTTCTCACGGTAGCTAACATAAAAAAAAAAATCTCCTCTCTCTCTCTCTCTCCCCCATCCATCTTCCATTCTTCCCCTCACCTCATAGCCGCCTCTCTCTTCATCTCCCTCTCCTATATAAGAGTCAACTCACTTATTCTACACCTCATGGCAGCCCCCTTTCTCCTCTCCCTTCTTCTTTTTCCACCGGCAAACACCCTTCGGCGAACCCCCTCCGGCGAACTTCCCGCCTCGGTCTGGTATGTGCTCCCCACCTTTTTTTGTTTCTTTCTTATTCACGTATATACCTAATAACAAAAAAAAAAGAAAATTTACCTGCATGGTAAAATTTACATGTATGTCAGTCACTTTCTATGTATTTGCATGAGAGAGAGAGAGATTGACATGCATGCCACCCAAATTTCATATCACTTGATTCTTATATATTTCTACATTAAAAATCTAAACTTTGATAATTTCATGTATGCCACTCATGTATTTATATTTATAACATTTCATTGAAAAAAAAAAAAGCAATTTAGGTGCATACCACCCTCATGGTTCCAAAGAAAAGGCGGACATTTACATGCATACCACTCGATTCTTTTGTATTTACATAACCAATTTTCTTTAACAAAAAAACAAAGAAAAAACAAAACAGAAAAAAAAGAATTTACATGTGCACCACCCTAAATTTTATCATGTTTATGCGTCTATCGCCTTAATTTTTTTTATTTGTTTTATTCTTCTAGAAATTTACACCTATGCCACCAATTCATTTGGACATACATGCATGTCGTTTAAACTTTCATATTTCCATGCATGCTGCAAAACTCTTTTGGATTTACCCATCTACCACCTAAGCTTTTATGTTTACTTGCATGCCTATAACAAAATAGACTCCATGTTTACATGAATGCTACCTTGCCCCCATTGTGATTACATGTGCTTATATGCGTAATTATGGAATCTTGAATCCCAATAAAATTTTAGGTCAAACCAAAGGGTTAAAGGATAATATTGACCATAATTGACTCTCTAAGACAACTGAAACACTAAAGGTTAAAGAATAGAAATGAACTCATGATATTTTATAAAAAATGGTAAAAGTGTAATTTCTCCTATTAGTGAGGGTTGGAAGACGATTAAGTATGAAAGATTCTCAAGTGAGGGGCTTGAGAAAGGAAGAAATTAATTAACTTATTTGAAGCCCCGGATTAATAGTTAAACATGATACAATCAAGGATTAATATCATTTTACTTAACTTAAATTACAAATCTATCCTTAATGATCTATGAGCTTGATAGTGAGCTAGGATCGATCTGAAACTATATAAAGGAATTAAAAAAAAAAGAATATAATTTTTCATAAACACTCTAGGCTCAAGTTTAATTAAGATAGAGTAAATTTCCCTTCAGTAATTAAACTCACCCCTGGGATGATCATTCATCCAAGCATCAAACAAAATAGTTGCTAACCTACTTATGAGTCTATTAAGATATACTGAGCATAACTTAAAATATATTAATTCAGTTCGGATGGTTTAATTAACAGTCTAGAAAGACCAAAAAGAACTTAAAATGATCTAGATTCCAGATTTGTTTAGAGTAATTCTCTGGACATCCTTGAGAGATTCCAGATATTTTAAAGAAAATCTGGGTTTGTCATGATTTGTTGAAGAAAATCATCCTGAAAACACAAATGATCATTGAAAATCAGATGAACCCCTAAATACCCACCAAGTTATGGTTCGAGGCCCGATAATTCACACAAATCAATAGAAATACCCCAAACTACTTATCTTACATTAACAACCCAATGCTTAAGGGTTTAAGTCTTTCATAAAGTATTTAAATCCTTGTGAGCGAATGGGGATATTTGTTTGTGCCATATATGGATCATCGGACTTGCGTAAGTCTGAGGTATATGTGGCTAGGGCAATGAAGTTAATGTTAATGTGTGCTAAAACAAGCGATATGATGTGGGATTTTAGAATAATAACTCTTACCTCAAGGACCTTTAATAAAATGAGAGTATAAGGACCGATGATACTATTTGAAGACTCTTGAGAAGATGCTTGCCCCCTCGATACTCTTAGGTTTCCTGTAGTCCTAGCTCGATTAGATTGATTAACATGTGGACTGCAGCTATCTTCAAAATATTTTAAACAAAAGTCTCTTTCACATGATAAAATTGTGTATGCATGAAAATTAAATTCAAATGAAAATTTTTAAATGTCCATGGTTAATCACTTGAATCGAGGTTAGGACTGCCCTCCATAGAAGATTGGGTTGGTAGCTCTTACTTAAGGTTAGAAAGCACGCAGTCTAGCTCTGAGCCCCCACCTTTACTCATATCTTACACTTAGTTCTGGTCTTCCATATGTGAATACGGGTTTTCTTTTCACTCGTGTTTTGCTACGACTCAAGGTTCGACTTTTCTATATCAGATGCTTCCGTTTACTTCTTTGTAATTTATTTAATTCATGCAAATATATTCTGCTTTGAGATGTTAACCATGCAGCCATAGCAGCGAGAAGGTGACAGGTACGCATTTATATTTTATACACTGTAATTTTATTTATTTACTTTACGACATCTTATTTTTACCTGCATTTATTAACCTTGCTTGCAGTACTTCTCAAAACTGAAAATTACAAAATTATTTTCAAAATTAAAGAACATTTTCAAAATACAACAAAACAAAAAAAAAAACATTTACAATACGTAATTTTGAATTTACGGGAGTCCTTCGGATGAGGTAACTCACGGTTGCTAACGAGATCTCCCCAATTTAAATGAGTTTAATAACTCGTTTAGACTAAGTAAATTCAAAAGAAAATAGTGGTACCAGAATGAAAGAACCGTGAGATCCTAACCGGTGTCACTCTATTTAAATTTAACCACCCACCCATAATACTTGAACAACAACAAAACTTGTCATTGAAAAATATACAGTAAAACTTTTTGAACCTTAGACCTTAAGACTGTTGCTTCAACGAGGAGCTTGGAGCTAACATCGTGGGCAGCATGACAAGAATATACAAAAGAATATATTCGAGAGAGCAAACTCTTAGCTTAAAAAACAAATCATATGGTTTCAAGGTAGTCTGTTTAATACTCTATAAATCCTCAACTCATCTTTTAGGATTTTGCACAATCACATTTAAGCCCTAACTCGACTTAGGCTCTGAGGTTTTCATTTGTTATGATATAAATACTCCTATATTTTAGGCTATTTGTATGATAGTGTCATGCAAGTGTAAACCCTGAATAAAAAAAATGGCATGACAAAACATGCAAAACATCTTTTCAAAGTTAAAGCCAAACAAATACGATAGCTTGACAAGTCACTGGGGTTTTTGACCTTAACTTTATATAATCTTTAAAATATATGTATTTAATACTGCTGCTAAATGATTTAATTCCTCAGCAACTGTACCCAAACTTAATAACAGTTATTGATTCGATAAAGATGGATGTATAAAATATTCAATAATTGTAAAATCACTGTTGACCTCACTTTTGGTTGAGGTCTAGAAACTTCTTTAGTAACCTAGGTCTAGCCATAGGACTTTCCTATTGACTAGTCTTAGAAAATTAGAAGAGGTACCCCACCATTAGAAATTCAAAACTCTTCTTTTTACTCAACTTGAAATTCCACATATTGATCTTAACCTCTAGCATTTAGTAGGTAAG